TTGTTGTTCCCTTGTCCCTGATTTGTTAACACCACCACCTTTCCCCCCACCTCCCCCTCTCCCATGTCCCCCCGGAACTGTCGGTCCCGTGTTTTCTCCTCCAGATTGTTCATCCAGCCTATCTTTAATTTAGACAGACCTGCGAAGATAATAACATGCACAAAAACAAGACAGAGCAAAACCAAGCAACAATATACAACAAAACAACAACAACAAACCAATGACAAAAAACAAAACAGAACACAACAAGAAAGAAAAGCTTGTAGTTAGTTCAAGGATTGTTTGTTGGCCTTTAGGAGTATTTTCCAGTCCAGTCTGTTGGGGCACCATGTCCTTGCCCCAAAGTCCACCTTCACCATTCCCTGGGGACCTTGCTGCTCCATTCCTTTGCTGTTCTGTTGCACCCCCTTAGTGTTTTGCCTCCGTGTGGCACGATCAGATAGGATGCAATTCCTACACTGTGTCTCTGGTGTTGTCCCCTGTAGGGCTATGGGCCAGGGAGGGGCGTCATGTCTCATAGTGGGGCCGGCCATGTGGTCTTCTCTGTGGACTGGCTGCTTTAATTGGGAACATCGTCCTCATGGCCTGGTGGGCCAGGATGTGCTCCACTCTCTCCTCCTCCCCCTTCATCTGCACCCTTGTGTTCCAATCAGATATGTCCCTCTCCCGGAACTGCAGATTCAATGCCGTTTGAAATAAATCCTTCTGTGGGAGGGGCAGGTGTCCACTTAGTAGTTGGGATTGGGGCCAGCCTCCTATTATTATATTTTCACGTCGTCTTACACTGACCAATGTTTCCCTTCACCCTCTTTTCTGTTGTCCATCCCCTAGGGGAGGGGGTTAGATGTAGATCATTGTGATCCGTTCCCCATTTCTACCCCCACCTTTCCCTTGCCCTCCTGGTATCACTACTCTCATTATTGGCCCTGAGGGGTTTATCTGTCATTCCCTGTGTTTCCGGTTCCTGTCTGTACCAGTGTACATTCTCTCGTCTAGCCGGATTTGTAAAGTAGAATTGGGATCATGATAGTTGGTGAGGGGTGGGGGGAAGCATTTAAGAACTAGAGGAATGTTGTATGTTTCATGAGTGCTATTACTGCACCCTGACTGGCTCACCTCCTCCTCGTGACCTTTCTGTAAGGGGATGTCCAGTTGCCTGCAGATGGGTTTTGGGTCCCCACTCCACACTCCCCCTCATTCACAATGATATGATTTTTTTTTTGTTGAAAAATAAGTTTCAATATATTATACAAAATTTATTTTCAAAACCATTTTATTGGGAACTAATACACATATATCATTCCATAGTTCAGTTACATCATGCAGTATTGTACAGTTGCTACTACAATCAGTTTCAAAACATCTCTTCTTCTTAACTCTTTGATATCAGCTCCCCTCCACCTCCCCTTCCCTATTGTACCCCTCAGGAACCCTTAGTCTACTCATTGTCTCTGTAGTTCATCAATCTTGAGTTTCATGTACCAAAAATCAGAAAATCACATAAAAAATTCAAGAGAGCTACCCCCAACAATAAAATGCATAAAAGAAAAAGCCAAATATGAACCTCCCCCAAAGTAAACAGACAGAAAATGTTGAAAACCCGACCAGGACCAACATGTATCAGAGGTGGGATCATGTGACAAGGTTTTAACCATCTAGTCAGGTTCATCGTTTTGCTGTCTTATAACCATCTCTCCAATACTCTCTGTTCGGTAACCAGTTTATTCCCATCCCTCTATTATGGATAGAGGGAAACCACCAGAGGCTTATTGCCTGTGTAGGTCTCACAAATGTATCTTGGGCTTCCACTGTCATCCATAGCCTTCTGCAAACCAGATTCTCACAATTTA